GGTGTCTATGACTCTGTACTATAATTGCAGGGACTTTTGCCATGCTGTGCTGATTTCTCTGTAGCCTGCTCATACCTTCATAAACACAGACTTTGTTAAATTTTGAAAAAATTATCAAACTTGAATGTTGCATCTCCCTTTTCATTTACTAGCATATTAGCCAACATAAGAGAGGTTCCCGGAGTATTAAAAAATGTGATTTAAGTTGCAGAATTGTCTTCTTATACTTTTTTTTTCAGAATCAATTTTCTTTATCTTATTGATGAAAATAAGTCATCTAAGCCTTAGTCAATGTGAAATCCCTACAAAATTTATCCACAAAGTAAAACAAATGTGTATGTTCTATTTAACTGTCTCAAATGGGAAAATGCATTGCACATGAGCCATTTTGGACCCCACATTGAAGGGATTCATCTACAATGAAAAATTCATTTTCTTTCTACTATCATAGTTGTTGGCTTAAGAAAATCAATTTTAAGTACATTTTTAAATATACGCAAAAAGAAAAAATATAAATAAACAGAGCTGTATTCTTCATGATTATATTCATAATCATCAGGATCAATACTATAGATTGCCCTAAATCTTTCAAGTATTAATATGATATTTCTACAGTCATCCAATAACATTATATATATATATATATATATATATATATATATATATGAATTTTATAAAAATGGTAATACTTGGTGATTTTTACATTTAGTAAGAAAATATCAGGATGTACTTTTTACATTTTATTTTTATATTAAATAAAAAAATATCAGCATGCACTTTTCCAAATAACTTTTCTAGAGGAAAACACATAACATTTGTTAAAATGATTTAATCTAGCACAGAAGTCATAAACATATTCTGAAAAATATACATAATTTTTAAATTTCTAAAATAAAAAATAAAGAGCTAACTCTTCATACTATTTTTAATAAAATACATGCAGAAGGATGAATTTTATTAGATATACATGTAAACTAGTTTGACCACAATATTTTAAAGAATAAAATGAATAAATCACAAAATTGCAATATATTCTTTGCAATAAAAGTCCAAAATAGTGATAGGATCTTAACTGTGAAGAATATTATAAATTCTAACTGAGTTCCTTCAAAATTACATTTAGTTAATGCCCTGATTGTAATTATTACCTTTTAGAATAGAACTTATAATGAGAAATCATAGTAGTTCAATATACATTTTCTTTCTTAAATTTTTTTTAAAATTTTATTTAATTTTAAAAGAGAAAAAGAAAAACAAATAACAAAAAGAGTACAAGTTATACAGAATTTCAGAAAAAAAAAACAGTAGGAAATCACCAGTTAATGGATTACGTATTGTCATTTTAGGAATATTTTTTCAAGTTAGAAAATTGAACCATATAAAGTGGACATTCAAACAGTGAGACTGCAAACAGTGCTGTCAAATGATCCAACAAAACTCAGTAATATCATTGTCTACCTTATACACTTAAATATACATTCAATTATAGCATTTAGAGCACTTTCTTTTCCTCTCTTTTGTACAACGACTATTACACATTTTCGGTTTTATTATTTCCACAGTTCTTATTAATTTTTTGGAAGAGAGTAAAACCAAATGTGACATAACAGAACAGAGTAGGTCAAATCAAAAGGGTGTACATAATAGATAATGTAAAAACATAACACAAGGTGATCAACAATGGTTACCATAATGCCTCCCGCTATCTCAAATAGAATTGCCTATATCATCAGTTATAATAAAATTGAACAAAACAGTAAAGAATGAAACCAACAAAACCAAAATATTGGAGAAATTACAGGTCTCCAAAAGTAGATAATAGTCAACCAGAATGTGCGTCATTATGAATCCCACTATCTTCACAGCTGTTGCCTCAACTTTCAAACCTGGTACTATCAAGCAAAACAGAATAGAGGAACATCAGTCAAAACAAGATGGCGAGAGTAATACAGGGCTTCAAATCAAGTTAATAGAAAATCAAAGTGGGTTACTATAATATATCCTGCTTTTTAAATTTATTTTTCCTTAATTAAAAGGATAAAAATAAAAAAGTGAATAATAAAATGGAGATTGAGATAAAAGAGGGCATGACAACAAAACAGCCCAGATCAAAACATAACCATTTAAGCAAGATAGTGTTTCACCACAAGATAATCCCGACATAAAAGTAGTTACCATGTTGTCGCTTTCCTCGAAATCTTTGAGTATAACTTCATATACTGTAGCATTAGGTATATCAAAACAATGTAAAACTATTCAAGAGAATGACAGTATTACAGGGTATTTAGAATCAACAGAAAATGAACAATGGTTTCTGTAAAATCTCCTTGTCTATAAAATTTTTTGTTTATACTATCACATATAATAAAATCCAATAAGATACAACATGTTAAGACCTATGGAGACAGAAGAACAAAAGCTTGATGGGACGTCAAAACAAGATGATATTAAATCAGCATTACCTATTATGATGTCATTTTCTCCAAAATAGCTGTTCCTATCATCCAATCTTCTCTGCCTCATTTCTGTTGAGCTGTTTTTCTGTCATTAGTTCTCAGTTTGTCTTCTTTATTTTGTTTCCTGCTCCATTTATTGTGGCCTCTCTGCAAATATTTCTGGGTTCTTTATATTTTTCTTTTTTAGAATATCCTGCAGTATTCTCTGTAGAGTCGAATTGGTGGTTGCATATTCCCCTAGTTCCTCTTTATCCTGGAAGAACCTTGTTTTTCCATCAATTTCCAGGGATGGTTGTGCAGGATATATCAATCTTTGCTGGAGGTAATCTTTCAAATCTTTTATTATTACCCCCACACTATTCATGATTTGATGGTTTGTGCCGAGAAGTCTGCTGTAATTCTGATGGATGTTCCCTTGTAAGTGATCTGTTTCTTCTCTCTGATGGCTTTTAATATTCTGTTCTTATATTGGATTTCTGGAATTTTGATTATTATATGCCTGGGTGTAGCTCTGTTTTTGTTGTAGGTGGCTGGGGTCATGTATGCTTCATACATCTGAGTATCTTTACGTTTTGCTAAATTAGGAAAATTCTCCTGGATTATTTCTGCGAGTAGCTTTTTTAGTTGGTTTGTTTGTGTCCCTACCTCTTCTTTTATGTTCTTAATTCTTAAGGTATAGATCCTCTTATCATCTTCTAGTCTTTGTATTATTGCTGTTTGTTTCTTTGTTACTTTTAAGAAGTGTTTCATTCCATCCTCCCATATTACAAATCTGCCCTCCTGTTCAGATAATCTATCCTTAGTTTCTTTCAAGCTGTTATGTCAGTTTTCGATAGAGTTTTTAGTTTCCTGGTAATCTCTTTGAACCTGCTTCACGTAATCTATGCTTTCTCTACTTTCTCCATTAAACAATTCTCCCCTTGGTTTCTGTTCTTCCATTCCACCATCTGTTTTTCTTGGGTGGTGCTTAACATTTCCCTAACTATTCTGCTTATGTCTTACTTAAGGTCATTGATAACTTCATTCCTGAACTTGTCTATGAGACTCTGGAGATAGCGCTTTATGTCTATTGGTGCCATGTCTGCTATTGCTTGTTTCTCAGGAATGGGGGCTGAGGAGCCTTTCTTGTTCCTCCTTCTTCCCATATTCTTTGTTCCTTATATATGCAAGCGTATATAGGAGGCCCAGCTTCCTTCTCTGTCGGCCACAGTCTAATTGAATTGTGCCGGCTAGGTGTTCCCTCTGACTGCAGCAGCACTAGGGAGTTACGGACCGGGCAGCCTATGCAGGGCCCGCCCCTCCAGATCAACTTACTGAAGGCTTCACTGCTAGGGTACACCTCCAGGTGCTGGGACCTGTGTTGTGCTAGCCTACTGGGTCTCACATACGCTAGGCACTGCTCGCCAATCCCACTTGAGAAGAGGGTATGTGACTGAAGTCACTACAACACTTATTCTGGCAAGTCTGCCTGGTCCCTGAATATCCTCTGTTGGCGCCTCCTAGGCCATGGAAGAATCCCAGTTTCCTTCACTCTCTGCGGGTTGATGCATGGCTCCCCACCTGTCCCACTCTCAACTCTGTTCACAGATTCCCATTCTCAGAGCTTTCATGTATCTCTCTCCTTGCCAAGCCCATACAGATGCAATAGCACGGGCAGGTAACCCAAATCTCGGCTTCTAATGGCATGGGCTCCAGCTTCCACGCTGAGGCTTTATCTGTTCCTGTTATAGCACCAGGATTTCATTCCCAGTTGGTTTCTCTAAGCCCAATTCGTTCTTGGGTCAGCAGGGTATATCTCCTCTTCCTTAGTATTCTTCACTCCGCACCATTCCTAGATTCTAAGCTGGGTCTCTCAGAGAACCTCCGTAGATGCTGCTATCTGTCCGCCATGTTCATTGTGATGCTTGAGGGTTCAAAGGATCTTTTGCAATCTGCAGAAAGAACTCACTGAACCTACATGTGCGCAGAGTTCCAGGCTCTCAGCACTCAATATACATTTTTTTTTTTTGTCAAGAGATATTTATTTTATTTCTAACAGTAAAATACTGGAAACAAGTGTCCAACAGAATAGGTTTTAAAAAAATCACAGAATCTCAAATTTTACCTATAAAATGGAATTGTCAGCTATCATTAAAAATACTTGGTCCAAGTACTTAATGACATGTAGAGATCGAACTGCTCGACTGCTTCACTCATTCTCACTTAGATTAACTTAGATTCTTATTTTATCTGCGAACTCTTGGTCAAACAGCAAATACATCTGCAAAGTACTGCCACATGAGCCCAGAAGCCTGCAGAAAGGCGCTTGCACTCCTCCCTGTCCTAAGCATGGGAGCACTGCAGCAAAGAGGGATTCTTCCTTCACTGTGCTCGGCACTGCATTGCACCCCTCCCGCCATCCTGCCATCAATGGAAGGGCTGCTGCACATCAGCACAATAACAACAGAGGACGCTCCAAGTGAGGAATCCGGTGGGTGGCTCCCACCACCAGCGAGCACCAGGCGCAAGCTTTATGACCACCCTGGATCTATAGGAGACTTTTTAGTCTACTTTATTTACATGTCTTCTTTTCGGTATCCAAAACTTTAGCCAACAGCTCCTGTGTTTTGGCCGTCAGGGGAGCATGGGAAAACCTGCAGTGCTCTCCCTGGTAACATTTTGTTCCTGTGTGATAAAACTTGCAGGGGTATTCATTATGCAAATACAGGCAGTTTTCACCTCGGGTAAAATAGCCCTGGACATAAAACTTACACATTTCCTTTTTTTTCTCCATCTCTGTATCATGATCAAACGTACACTGGTCTCCCTTGATACATTTCCTTTCAAAAAAATATTTGCAAACTTTCTTGCCCTTACGTTCCACTGTGTGCTGGTTAATGAAGCCCTGGCTCATCCGCACCGGCTGCTGCTTCTCCTTAGGTTCACCATCCTCCTCCCCGGGACTGCTCTTCTTCACCAAGGAATCTGGCCCTCTGTCTCCAGTGCCAGCCCGTTTTCCTTTCACTTTCTTCTGTTTAGCATTCTTAGGACCAGGTTTAAGATTTTTATTTTTCGATTTAGCAGACAGCAGAACAAAATCATATACTTGTCTAGGATTGAATTTATATTCTTTTGTCCTTGTGATTTTGTTTCAATATTGTCAGAGAAATTATAGGAAATTTGTCTGGTATTAACAGGTGTAGGATTAAAAAGTACTTCAAAATATTTTGAAGTGGGAGTATATATATATATCTGGTTTGAACAAAATCCTATTTTTTTTTTCTGAAGACAAGATCTATGGGAAAAGAAAAACCAGGAATTTCTTTCTTTTTTTTTTTTTTTTCTTTTATAATTACATTGGGGAAAGTGTATCCAAATTGAATATGTTGTCACTTGTAGTTCTTGCAGGATTCCCTTATTTCACAAAGACTTGGAACTGTTCCTAATACACATCCAACACATGCTTCTTTGCCAAGGAATACACACCTAAGTTTGTCTGGTAGTTTTCTTTTCTCTTAGCTGAAGTGACACATGATTTCTGTAACTATAAGATTCTAACAATCCACAGTGACCTATGTTGATATTCTTATGATATAAATGTCAGTCAAGTCATTTGTAAATGTACACATTTGTAACTGGAAAAGATGCATAAATGCTTTCAGTTCAAAGAGGGTAAACAATCTGGATCCACCCTGCCTTCTAGGTTAATCTCCTTTCAATTTTGTATACAAAATTCAAATATTTCTCATTATCTTGAGTACTAACTTCCCCTACCTCAGGCCCAACCACCTACAACTCCATTTTCCTATCTTTCTTGGCCTTATACGGTCTTGAGATTTGTTGTCTAAACATCAGAAATTCTTCTCATTTCCTCAGAAAAACTCAAACATAATCTCCTGTAGGCAGTCATTTCTGGGTAACCTATTTAGAACTGAACATTTTTTCATTTCCTCACTAAAATTTTATATCCTCATTTGCAAGAATTTATAATATGTTGTTGCTCTTAGTTTGCTAGTAACACACAAATAGGAGACCTAGTTTCCACAGGACTGTTCAGGAGGGACTCTATCCTCAGTGGTCCTCATTTTCTTGTAATGGGTCCTATTAGAATGTTGTTCAGACTTCCATGCTGTTTGGGAACACACCTGGTTTTATAAAGTTGGATGTTAGACAGATTGTAGATTGACATTGCTCAAGATTATAAAATGTTGGTAGAAATCAGAAGTGTGCGCTTCTCTGTCAAGGTGACTCAAAACAATGTTGGATCTTGTTCATGAAAATCAGCTATGATGACTGGAGGTCAAGAATCAAATGAATCTGTGTACGCTTTCTAGAGGCTTCAGATCTAATGAGGAGAAAATGTGTTAAATACGCTGTTAAAGTGAAGTTAATTTTTACTATGTGCTCTGTCTGCCACTTGCTGATAAAAACTCATACTGAAATTCCCTGCTGCCATTATTTATGTGTAATCATTTGTTTTTGTTTCAATTTTTAATATATGAGGTTCTATGTTGCTTGTTTCTGTTTCCTCTTAAGCACTAGCTCCTAGATGATTTTTATGGATTATAAAATAATTTAATGCTAAGAATAAAAACCTCAAGAAAATACGCTAAGATGATGCTATTATTTTGTTTGTTTTCTTAGCGTTACTTTTCTGTAGCCTTTGTTAGAGATTATATACAACCTCTGTCTACCTCGACTGTAACACCTCGGGAAAAATATTTGTCCAGAATGACATTTTCTCTATAAGCTTAGCCACAGTGACTTTCAAAAATATTAACTTTGTTCCTCCCATTCCCAAGAACACTTAGCAGACCTCCAGAATGTGAAAGGTCAAACTTGTCCCTTTCTTGAATGTGCCGTATGCCAATTTTTTTTGGCTTAGATTTTGAAACAGACTAGTGGGATGCTTGATGAAGCAATTAGATCACAGAATTCAAACACGTGTTTTGTACTTTTCATTCAAAAATGACTCCACATGAGTAAATGGATATTACAAGAAAAATTCTTTGAAGTTTGCTAGGGTATATAGTTTTTACATTAAAAAATAAGTAAGAGTATCATATGATATTATCTCAAAAAAGGTATCTTATTTTTAGAAGAATGTGAGAAATTTTAGCTGACATACAAATTAATAAATCATGGGTGGTTAGTTGTATAGATCTGAGGATGAAAAATGGAATAAAAAATGTTAGGAATTACATAAACCAATTTAAAAAATTCAATTACATAGTATAAATAACAAATAAGAAATAATCATATCACATGTTCAATTTAGGACTCATAGAGACAAAACATATTAATTAAGTGGAAATTGAGGCAGATTAGGAGTAAATTTGGAATCAGATGTTCTCAAAATTGGTTGGTAAAGCAATTATGTATACTCTCAGTTTTTACAAGTAGTCAACAATATATTGGTAATTGGAGATAAACAATGGTCATGCCTCAGTTTGTAATAATGATGGTTTCTAATTCTATCAATGAGAAATTAATTATTTCAGTTTTCCTGCATTTTCCTGTGGAATCACCAGATGAATTTGTGATATTTAGGAGATATTCATTGTTATTCGTTATTATTATTATTATTATTATTATTATTATATTATTATTACTGGTACCAGAAACTGAACTCAAGACCTCTGCTTGGCACGCAGGAGGTATGCCTCTGAGCTATTTCCTGGCAAGATACTGGTCTTAAAACCAGTTTTTAGAAATTTTCAGGTATAAAACTTTCACAGAATATTGGAAAGAAAGGCAGTTTGGTGTAGGGCTTCCGTAACTAGGAAATAACAACAAGATGATCCCACACGAAGAATGACAGTCCTATAAGAACACATAAAAATGGTGATGAGGAAAAAAACTGACTGAATAAATTTCAAGCATTAAGGAACAAAAAGGTTTTTGACTGATGATGAGTCAAAACATATAACATTAAACAATAGAGGGAAATTAGTAGGAATATACAGGAAATGCTGCCACTCTTTGAACTCTTCAAAACTGAAGGTGGAACAACAAAGAATGTAGATTAGGATTTCACAAATTTTACATATTAGAAACGTCCCATAAAAATCTCAACACAGCTGCTTTTGAACAGTAAAGCAGAGAGAGTTAAGGGAGTGACAGAAATGCCTAGCCATCCAATCATTTTTGTCGATATCTCTGTCTTGTTTCCATCGCTTGTCTCTCACTTATACTATGTCTTTCTACAGCAAAGTAACTTGAAATGTCTAGTGTAATATCAAACACTCATGAAAGTCTTTTGAATAACTACAGATTGAGTAAAATTCCTTAACTCTTCTAATGTACTCTGGCTGAGGTATGAATTTGTGGGCCGTCTAATTGAACTCAACATTTGTGCTTGTCTAATAAAAATTCAGCATGACTTATGTCTTAATATCTAGAAAATTACACAAAAGGACCACTACTTTAAATGAGACATGTTTATATTTCTCTTTATTTTTGCTACTACCTTCATTTTCTTAAACAAATAACTCTGTGAATAAACACAACTCATATTTATTTGGAATATATTATTGTGTAGTTCACTACATTTGATTTTTTTATTCTTCATATTTATTTGACTAACTTGAGAATTTTGATAAAAGTTGTAATTTGAGATTCTCTGAATAAAACATGAATTAAAAGTAATAGTACATTTTGTAAAAAAAAAAAAAAAAAAAAAAAAAAAAACCTTTACAATGATGACATTTATGATATATGCCCCGAACTTTGAGAAAATTTATTGTTTTGTGTCAGGCATTATTCAACATGAAAAAATAAAACATACTGTATGTATATTTTATTCTCAAAAACCACTTCAGAAAGAAAGAAATTCAAGGAAGAAAAGATTTATAAGAGAAACTGTGGGATGAAATCACCTGACAAGAGAAAAGAGAAACATAAGATATTGAATACTTTTCATGTCTACCAGGAATGCTTCTGGGCATCTTGTATGTATAGCTTTTAGAACTGTACAAAATAAAATGTATATTTGCTGATAAGTAAATCGAGCTCAATCATAATTTATTCTGAGATCCTAAAACTATTATTTAACAGGATGTATATTCAATCCAGCATTCTTATGTTGGTGATAGAGTAGATTAAAAAATATATGTACATATTATTATAACACAAGAGAAAAAAGTATTACAAAATAAAAGTACAAATATTTTCATATTGAAACAACAGTGCAATGAATAGTGATGGATAAACATTCAACAATCACTACATACTTTTTATTTTCTTTGATTGTTGACTTTATTTAAAGGACTCATTCCATGAGACCAGTACATATGACAAGTATATTTGATTTTAACAAGTAAATTCTATGTGTGTATGAATGAGAATAGGAAAAAAAAAAACCAGAAGTCTCACAGACAGTCATCATCTCATTCTTTTTTGGTCACTTTTCAAAAAGGGCAAGAAATGTGTTAAAATTCACAATTAGTGATCTCTGCCAGCAAGATTTTTCATGTCTTCCATGTTCCCTCTGATACTTCCCAGAACCAACTAGAAATGTTTCCATACCATACATAGTAGAAGTCGTGATGTTCTGGCCACTCAGACTTAGAAAGACATTTTTTTCCTAATTTTCAGCTCAAAGTATAGGGAACAAAAAAAGATATGCAGTCGGTCTTTCAGGGTGAATTTCCTCAAGATCGTCACCTTCACCTGAGATGACATCACTCTTGGGTAACCTGTTCGTTCTGAGAGGTCAATGTCAAGGTATAATTTCTTGACTTCAATGCAAAACAATACTGAATGAAGTCATCATCAGAGATCTCAAAGAATTGACTTTTTATAATAACTCCACCACAATTAAACATTCCCACTTAAGTAACCATTCTATCTGCCTTCCCACACAGGCAATGGTCTGGGCAGCACACTTAAGGGATACATCTTCAACTCTCAGAGGATTACTTGAAATCCAGCTTTAAAATTAACATCACTTTATTAGCAACTTCCTTAAGGTCTTATAATTTTCTGTGTAATGGGTCTGAAACGTTACTTGTGAGGATATATTTCAACTTAAGTTATGCATTGAATATAGAACAGGAAACTGATGCTGTAGTAAGGTTGCTATAATCCTAGGAGAGGTTATTATTAAAGA